ATTAATTGATTAAACTAATACAGTTAGACCACTGTAACACCCTACGACGTGGAGCCTGACAACAGTATCCAGGTCAAAAAGAAGAAAGCTATCTTGCTTCATCTTTTCCCCTCGTGGCAAAACATACAGTAATTTTCAAGATCAAAAGTTGGCACATGCATACGTGAGATGATTTCTTTGCATGGGTGGATGGTCACTGGCCTAGTTTCTCTCAGCCAGATATGAGAGCGTGATGAAAAGGCCTCATTGATCTTGATGTCAAAGCAAACCTTCAGATGTCCAGCAATGTGTTCAACAATAATTCATCACTCCTTTTATCTACATTTACACATTTGCTTGAAGACTAAAGGGTACAAAGAACTGCAATGACAATCTGTAGCTAAGAATAAAATCCAATGTAAATGTAGAAAGGAGATCATCATAAATGCATTCCTTTTATCAATCAATACATCAGTATTCATAACATTCAGAGTTATATGTTACAGATCACGCCAAGAAAGCACAACAGTTTCATAAATTGCATGTTAAGTTGCTGCCATTTAGCTCATCCAAAAGGCAGAAGGGGCGCTGACTGGGTTCAAGAACATTGTTTTTCATTAGCAATTCTACCAGTTCTAACAGTTTATAGTTGATTTTTATCCAGTTTATATATTTGTCTCGCTAGATTTATATTTAAATATGGTGATAATAACATTTTTGCAGCTGCAGTTCAGTGTAGCAGAGGAATTTATACCTAAAGATGACATTGACACTATCTGTCCTTACTCTTTGAAACATTTAATGTCAAACATATTTTTATCCCAGAGTTGTTCGCAAATACGTGTGTAAACATTCAAATACACACGCACATGTCTTGAGATTTGCTGAAGGCATCTCTCTTCTTTACATTCAGCGCTAAGCTTATGCACAGATAAAGAAAGTCAAATAAATAAACAACAGTTATGACCTTGGCTGAATGCGGCCCATCTGTCTGGCAGAGGAATGCTTAGAAAGCAAGACCTAATTTGAGATCAATACATGAAATAACACATCTTCCCTTGACTGGGTGTTCATCAAGGAGATCTCAGAGGCTCTTAGTCTGGGATGATGAAAAGCTGGACAATTTTCTCCCTTACGTTTGTGCTATATGCCCATAAATCATTTTCAAATGGTTTTTGAAGGTGGTATAGTCTGCAAGGCGCTTATCTGACCCATATCGCTACTTGTGCTTATTCCCACAGCATGGCTTCATTCATAATGCTGGGGATCACAATGAGAGCAGACAGACACAATATATGGCTCAAAAAGCCATGGTTAGATATTTTCTGGAGATGATATTCATGTTTTTTTTTATAGAGCTCCTGTATTTCTTGTGGAAAGGTGGGGGTGCTACCAACCAGGTAATTCAAGAATTTGCACATTTAGCAAAGTTTGTGCTTTGGTTGTCAGACTATTCTGAAACTGAAGAATACGCTATATAGAACTAGCTTTAAAGAACCAGTGTGTTGGATTTAGTGCCATCTAGTGAAATTGCAGATTGTAACCATCTGAATACTTCTCAGCCTTTCAAGGGTGTAGGAGAAACTACGGAGGCTGTGAAAAAACACCAAAAAATGCTTAAGGCCCTATCTAGAGCCAGCGTTTTGTTTGTTTGTTTGGGCTACTGTAGGAACAAGGTGGTTCAACATGGCGGACTCCTGCTATATATAAAAAGGCACATTCTAAGATGATTTCAGGTGATTATACACTAATGAGAACCTACCTATGAATATTATATTCCATTTCTGCCAATAGAGCCCCATAAATCTTACATAATGGACATCTAATGTCTATTTTAAACATCCTGTCAATAAAGGCTGCTGGACTTCATCCAGTGCACTCTCATTACACAACATGAGGAAGGTAGTACCTGGCCACACAGCCACACCTTTACGTCTCTCCTGGAAAATCTATCTGTGCCTGTGGTTATCTCTGAGTGGCACGTCGCGGGGGTATTGACTCAGACGCCGCTTCAAGCATACAAGGCAGGCTGGGATTGACGCAATCCACAGGGAGCTGGACAGTCCTGGGGGGAAGAAAATCTCCCATTGGTCTTGAGACAAAACTGGGGCACAGAGTCTGTAACACCACAGTTCTGCTTTCTCTTACTTTTTGTAAGGCACTATGCCCAAAAGGGATTTAGATTCACCCTGTGCTTGAAAACAGAGAGCAGATTGAAGCCTGTAGCTTTACTTTTGACCGACATTGTTTAACTAATGCCACCACTGAGGAACCTAAAAATCAGAAGATGAAGCTTTAAAATGATTGAAGTCATAAGGAGAAGACCGGATTGAGCTGTCATGTGTAGAATCTACCCTTTCTGCCTAACTGGGACACACTGGGGCACTGTCGTATCTACGGTAGCTATTTTGTGAAGAGTCTGTTTCGTGGAGATATCAGCTCTGAACAGGGGACACATGGAAACCCGGAGAGTCGTAACATTCGCTGATTGATGTCAACCCATCAGGTTCTCTTATCAGCAGTGAAATCGAGTCAGATTAGCAGAATTATCATAGACCCCTGTCCCTGTCGAGTCTCAGAGAAACACTATCTCTGTCCCGAATGCCTTGGACAAGAGAAGAGCGCAGTAAATCCGTCCCATTACACTGCCAGTGGGCAACCTGCTGTCCATTAAATTACCGCCAATGCCACCCTTTATGAGTAACACACTCCACTAGCGCTGTATCAATAAATAAAGTGAATGCAGAGACAACAAAATAGCAACAACAACTTTCTTTGAAGAGAGACGTGTCAGCCGAGAAATAAAAATTGATAATGAATGCTGGTGATAATGAAACCACAATGCAAATGAGGCAGCCTCGTTAGGAAACAGGAAACATTCCATGCCATCGCCGAGCGGCGCCAGAGGAAACATCAAGTCAGTGGCAGGCGTGTCAGAGGGGACAGAGCGTCAGAGGCAGAGACTTTCAGACAACATTACGCCCCATCTGAGGTGTCGGCTTAGAGCTGTGGGAGACGTTCTGATGAAGCATCAGATGTATAAGCAGCTTGTCAGAGAGCGAAACGGCGTCATGTCTGTTGACAAGGAATGACTGATCAGCGCGAGGCTAAAAATGCAACGTGAAAAAAATCTAAGTGTGGCTGATATATGCTAATCATGCAAATAACAATTAAGTATACAGATCAAATTAGACATATTTAGTTCAGAAAAGAAAAAGACATCAAGAACTGTAGATCATTTTCTCAATCATCACCACCTGTAAGGACATGTTACCAAGTCCTGTTACAGAGAGTTCTGGCTGTTACACAAATTGTATAGTCAGAATAGGTCAGTTTCTCTCTCTTTTAAATGAAATGTGATTTAAACACTAATCAAAAGTAAAATGACTGACAGTCAACACCCCTCCTCTCTTTCTTCCTAAGCTCTCAATTTCTTATGCATGTCTTTTTTTGGTGTCTTTGTCTTTTGAATCCCGTGAGACTGAAGCAGTTTGCAGTTAAAATGAAGACTTGCTGAAAGATGGATGAGGAAAGTTCTCCGAAGACCCAATTCTCACTAAACGATTAAAGATTAAAGAGAATAGGGAAAATAACTCCTTTGAAAAATCCTTGAGAGGATAAAGGAAATATATTAAAAGTTATACCAGGTGGGTACACACTCCACCCACATGCGCGTGGAAGCCTTTGCTTTGAAAAACACAGACCTTTTATATATGATTCATAATAATTAGCCATCCACTGGTATAGCTTCCAAATATATTTTTTATGCAGCTATGGGAGCCTGAATGTCTGTGCCTGCTGTTCACAGGATATGTGTTTTCCACGGTGTTAAAACTGTGCATATATGTATGCGAGTCTCTTCAGAATATGTGCATGTATAAGCGTGTTTGTGTGCGAATGCCACTTACATCATCATCAAAGAGCTCCATGACAAAGGTGGCCACGCTGCCGTTAATACCAATGAAGAGGTTGATGCAGGTCAGCACCACGTAGGCTGTGCTGGGCACGCTAAAGATGAAAGAGGCGGGGTACATCAGGGGCGTGATGGACCACCTGCAGAAAACAACACACTGTCACACAAAGGGCAGAGAGGCAAAGGATACACCGACGTATGTACACAACATGAGGATTAACTTCCAGTAGCCAGTACTCCAGTGCCGGGGTTTATGTAACAGTAGTGCCTGATTTAAATTTAGCTGAATTTATGCCATCAGCATGTCCAGTAAGTGACCCATAAAAAACACTGTTGAACAATAAATGCTACCCATGTTTGGCCTGCAGTTCAACTTCAGTATCAGAGATAGTAGAAGTGAGGAGCTGCTCAAGGTGATCACTGAAGTGGTAGAATAACAGTTGAATATCTCAAAAAACATTGTGTTTATGAGTTCAGTATGATTACTGGGCATGTGGGCAAAAGTAAAAAAAAACTTTGAATGGACTTCAGAATTCAAAAATAATAACAGTTTATCTGTAGGCCTCAGTATTTAAAGGTCAGTCTGCAAAATCTCTGTCATCTCCTCTTCCTTTTTCTTTTTTTTTTTGTACTTTTCTGACATTGTGCAACCTCACCTGCCTCATGATATGGCTGATCATGTCGGCTGTTATACACCCCATTAACATATTGATTTTGAACGATGCAACAGCCAGTACATTGCGCTCATGCTCTGATCACCACCGTGGCACAGCGCCTGCTTTATATGAATCAGCTTAAATGAATGTGCTGCACATTGAGCCTGAAATAGTGCATAGTAGCAGTTACCCCTAAATTTTCTGAAAGTGGGCCAATATCTCCAAAATTTGATGATGTACTATAAAGATATTATTTTTTATGTTACCCCTTACGCCTGGGAAGGTATCATAATTGCTTGCTATCAATTATTTGATTGGTGGTGACAGGAACTAAAAGTCAAAGGGATTCAAGTAACTCCATCAAACTTTGCTCATCAGAAAACACAGGCATAGGGTTCATGGATATAACCACTGTTTTTTGAAGTTTTCTTCAAAACTTGTTAAAGTGTTACAGACATCCATGCCACAAAAGAAAATGAAGTACTGATTGGCCACAGGTATTCTCGTAGTTGAAAGAGAAAACAATTATGTCAGGTGATTTCTTTACTAGAGCATTTTCTATTAGATGTAATAACATAAAAATGAATTGGATTATTTGATTAAAAATACTAAGTGAGGTTAGACGCAGAATAAACAATACATCATATAAGATGTTGCTGAACAGTATGGAGAAAAGTGATATCTATATTTAAGGTGAGTATCAAGTTCAGTGAGTGTCAAATGTACCTACCCATACAGAATAAGCAGGAGAATCAGAGCCGGCAGGTTAGCAGGTGAAACGTAGGATTTTTGTTGGAAGCAGAGGAAGATCACAATCACAATCAAGCACGGGATGATGTAGTTGCACTGTGAGAGGAAACACAAACAAGCAAACGAAAACATAAGCATCAATATTCCCATCAGGAGAATGGGCCAGTGTGTGATCAAGAAATTGATCTTCAGGGCATTAATGACTGAGATTTTAGTGCTTTTGACTTTTTCATGTAATTATGAAATCTGTAGATTACTTTTTTAATTAGCACTGAAATATATCCATCTTTCATTTTCTAATTAATTCATTAAATAACAGACCCATCCAATTCTCTTCTGTTTGAGGCGAGCAGGTTGCTCAATGACACAATGAAGAGTAAAGAGTAGAGTAGAGATTCTACAAGAGTAGAATGGATTTATAAAGTTTTCAAGTGAGAGATTAATTTATTTAACATGTTAATAATAAAGTCAATACAAAAAGAAGGCTGGAATAAAGCCTTTTAATTTCTAGGTTTAATATTCTTTGTGACTGCGGAGCTCTTTAATAAAACAAATCCACAGTTTTCCACTGGTGAATAAATGATGTACTATAGATAATAAAATAAACAGTATCAAGATACAATGACACACATTTATTTACAGTTCACAAAAAAGCCTTTCAACCTGCATTCCGTGTAATATCCCTATTGTTGACAGAGCATGCATGCTAATGCAGAGAGCTGCAGGCTAGAATCATTAGACTGACTCCTTAGGTACATTTGTCTTCCACTCAGACAGCATTTATCCACCATAATGATGAGCGTCCGGATGCCATTTCTTTACCAAAGGTACCTGATAAAATGTTTACTACAATTACGCCTCAGGGAAAATGCCGGTAAGCCTGTTGAGCGTAACCAGCGGGGGCAGCCGGTGTCAATAATTACGTCTCAGCCAATGACTGTTGCTCCGGGGAAGCTTTTCCCAGAGGCCAGCAGTGTCAAAGCTACATTATCAGTTACAGTAAATGGATATTCTTTTTACATGTTGCCTTAGGTGGAAAAAATATTTCAGGACAGTAGGAGTAAAACTAGAGTAAAATGAGGCCACTGAAACCTGATTCCGATGATTCACTCTATAATACATGCTATAGCCAATGCTCTTACCTCAAGAAGTAACGATCAATTAAGAGGTGATACAGCATGGCGATGAAGCTGGTACTCACCATGTCCCAGGCAAAATTGGCCAACCAGTAGACAGCTGGGTTTACTCCACTAACAAATTGCAGATGTTTGGCTTTGTTCACCCTCTCTTGGATGAGGAAGAGGACAAAGCTGGCAGGGATGAAGGACATGGCAAAAATAACGCAGATGGACACCACCACGTCAGTCGAGGTTGTGGCCCTGTGATTGAATAGAGCACAGCAAACAGGAAATTGGACTGGAGAGCTAAGCCACATTATGCTAAAAATATGTAAACCCTTCAATCAGGGAACTCTGGATAAAAACACATGCATTGGAATATGAGGTATCTTTATGAAATACAGAACTTCTAATACAGAAATCTAAATTAAATGGTTTCATGCTTCAAATGGATTAAAGTTAATTCTTAGGCAATACTGGCTCACTTAATTTTCCATGTCAGTGGGCACTAGCCATTGCTGCATATCACATCATTCATATAACATTCACAAGGCCAAAACTATAACTAATCACCACACTGATGTCAATGAGAATAACAGAAAAGGTTAGATGTGGCTGACTCAACCTTGTGCTGAAAAAGGTGTATTCAAGATATAGTTACAAAAGTCCTTTTAACTTTGAGAGATTCTCAGAGAAGAGAACAGGTCTGTGGTCAGTTCTCCTGTTACCAGGGAATGAACCAGATGACACTACAACAATGTTAAAGCAGCATTTGGCTCGTTTCCTGTAATGCAATAAACTCATTAAATTAATTCCATTGCAATGTTAAGATGCATTTGAACTAATTTTGTTACACCTGCAGAAATAATCCATATAACTAATGGTTCAGGCGTGTGCTTGTTGGTATTAATGACTTAATTAGAGAAGCATTTCGCACATTAATGGAAAGCACTGACAATGCTGTTTGTACATAATAAAAAAGCTTTTAAAGATCATTAGCCCTCTGAAACCATGATAGGCCATTATGCTAGGTTCACCTTCGATTCATGGCTCCTGTTGGTCTCCTGGCAACCCAGTAAACAGGAGAATAAAGGAGCAAATTTTTTCTTGACCAGACTTCTTGTATTTAGCAGTGTCCTTCTTTCATGTTAGAAACAAATTGTTCCTTTCTCCTCCAAGATGTTGACCTTCATTTCACTGGCATATGTCTTCATTTATGCCATCCCAGTGTTGAAAATGTCCTTTGCTGTGTCTGTTCAATTAGCATTGGATAAAACTGTGGTGTATTCCTTTAACCCCCGCCGTCATCCTCACCCTCAGCCCGCGATAATCTCTCACAAGACTTCCTGTTGTGTAATTAGCATATTAAAGAAGTTACCCTGTGTGGCTACACGGTTGCATTTATCATCGCCAACCAGACGCAATTAGAAGACATAAATAAAATAATGTACCGCAGTGGGCGCCAGCCCACATTTCAACAGGTTTCAAGGGCTGTGTGCTCTGGTTGGGTGGGGAGATAATGTAGGGGATAAAGCTGTGAATGATCTAACCCTGAATGCTTGAAGCTGGCTAATTGCTGTGAAGAAGAGGACAAGCAATCTGCTAATTAACTAATAATGGAAGAGCAAGAAAGATGAGCAGTGGGAGTCGAGCTTTATAGGATCTATTGCTTTCACAGCCCTTAAATGTTAAAGTGTAGTGGGGTTGAAAGCACAAGATAATTAACAGACACAGGCACAACATTCAGGTCATTATTTGTATTATGCAGCATTATAAAGATAATGTTGAGAACTTACTCATTTGGCAGCTCATGCGTATAGTATTTTTTGGAGGCATATTTTGCAGATAGAGTGCACGAATCAGAAACAGCATTAATTCGCTGATTGCAACTAAATTACACTTCAAACTCAAAAGGGTGGTAAGAACAGAAGACAGTTGCCAAATTGATAGTCCTCAGCAATTAAGAAGTGATACATATATCTCCATAATGAAATGGTGCCAAAGTCTGACATTTCTGAAGATGGTAGAGAAAATTGGAAGGCCCTATTTGCGTGCCAATGCAGATGAAGCACAGAGACCTCGCGCGAGTGAAGTGGTAATTTTGACGGGTCTTTTTTTCCATCTGCAGTGCATACTTTTAAATTTGGGGCTCATGACATGACTTGCATTGAAACTGGTTGTGAAGTGCCACTTCAAATTAGATGGTGTGAGGCAATTTTGGTGTCCAAAACCTTGCAAGGGAACAAGTCATTACTGATGAATTATTATCGATAGAACAGCTCTAGCAATGGTCTCTCCATGACATTAAGGATGTGTCAGTGAGAAATATAAATTCATTTTCAAGGCTGACGTTCCCTTAAATTTCAGATTGTTTTTACAGGACAGGGAGACACTTTTCGTTATTGGTGGCTTTCTTAGCTCTCTGTAATTCAGGGACTTTACTTGGGCTGATGACAAGCAAATTATAGCAGACTTCACAACTACACTGACAGCCACCTGCAGCAAATGGATTTTGAGACCAAAATAAAAGATTTAGACATTTTTACCATTCATCAACTTTCATAAAAATGTCTTTTGCAACTTCCGAGACCATTATAATAATATTTTTTGGGAATTCATCAATCTAACGTCTAAGATAAATTCAGGCACCCATCACACCATGCTCACCACACACTGGTATTCCCCTTCAAACAACAATTACTGGATTACGCACACCAACATTTGTGTACTCAAAGCTGAATTGTTGTATTCCTTTTATTTGTTTTTTTTTTGGCCACAAGGGAGCAGCTGAAGTGAGTTAATAGCAATATCTGGCATGTAATCACTTTATAACTTTGTTATTGTTCTACCTATTCTACCTAAAATCTACCTATTTACACATACAGCTGCTGCAGAGCAATATCAGTTTTCAGTGGATTTCTGTTTCTGGAGATTTTTCACAAAAAAAGCTGCAACTAACAAAAATGGGCTTGGTATGAGTATCATTTGCAGGTAAACAATGAAAACAATAAGCTAAAAGAGGCTTAAAAAACTCTGCAGGGTTGAGAGGAACTGCTGCAAAGTAGGGGATGATTCTTAACGGGCTTATAATTTTTCACATAACACATTTGTCATTCGATCCATTGTTCATATAAAAAATAAAGTGGAGCTTCAAGCAACCTAATTCCGTAGTGCACAGCCATCTGCTCAAGAAGTCTCTGCCTCATTCTTGTCTGCAACCTGCACACTTATCCAACAATGAAGAAGTGTCCGAGCTAATCTGGAAATCATAGTTCATAAATTTCAGTCGTCATGCCCTGCACGGAGAGGTAGAGAGGAAAAGAGGCTCATCCTGAATCTACTGTAGGCAGGACGTCGTAATTATCTCCTAACCCTGGCCCAGTCTCCCTCTCTAACTCATGGCTGTCGTGAGCACCCGATCACTACATAAATACCTGACTGTGGGTTGGGCTGGAGCAGTCGCGGGGGTACGGAATAAAACTGCTACGATGTGGTGATTGGTAGCAACCACTGAACTACCTGAATAATGTGAAGAGTTGTGGTGATGGCACTGCATGGTAATTTGCTGCAGTGGGATATACTCCAAACAATTTCCATTAAAAGTGTTGATAACGTTGATGTCTCTGAACGTGAAAAATACCAACAGTAGATAATGTTCAGGAATACAAAAAAACTGGTCATGAAATAGTACACAGAGAGCTAGAGTTATATCCATATGTTGTGATTTAGCACATCATTAATCTCTCACTCGCATGGGGAGCTGCTTACTTGCTAGCTTTGGGATAACGCATGAGGAAAAAAATGCTATATCCTCGTAAGGGGCTCCCATGGGCCTCCAAATCTGTGCATACTCAAACAAATCCCTCATCTATCTGTCTTACGCTTCCCATTGTATTGTCTCTTACTCATCTGTTCTCCCTTTGTCTGCGCTGTCTCTGCTCTTCTTTCACCCACTCCATTGCTCTGTCCCTCTCACTCTGTCTTATCTCTCCCAGCTCTCTCTTCTGCATCTCATGATGTATTGTCGGAGAATCAGAAATCGTGTCTTCCAACAAGAGGCAAATTCAATGCAGCAGCCTTACATGCTGAAATTGTTAGAAGGGAAACTGCAGACAAGGTTTGTAGATGCAGTTTTATGAAATAATTAGAGCATTCACAGCAAACACTTCTTTAAATGTGCAACATACGGTGCACATCATCCATTTAGATATAAAAATATAAAGTTGCACATACAGTATGCTGTTGTTGTAAGCTTGATTACATTTCTAATTAAAACTATATTTTACATTTTAGAGGCCATGTTCCTGCCCGTTTTTTTCTTGGACCACTATGATGCACATGGGGTGTAATAATGGCTGAATGAATGAATGACTCACATTGCAGCATAGGAGAGCTGCTCCTTGGTGAGGTTAAGGGGATGATTGGACACAGAGATGCCATACTGACGGGGGTCCTGTCCTGCCGGCAGATTTCCCCTAAGGATGGCGTTGTTGGCCGCACTGAGGAAGGACGGCATGCCATGCCATGCCTTGTTGTAGAACCACACCTGCCGAGGTAGAGACGAGCATTAGCGGCTGTAACAGCATGCAGAGGCTTTGCAGTTACACCAGATGTCTCCTAGCAACTACATCGGACACCTCTATGGCTGATAAATTTGGTCATGGACGAATAATGGACAAAGATTTCACATGTATGATGAAAGAAGAGACAAAATATAAGTCAAAAAGATTCCGAAGACATATGGACATGCAACTTGTGTCATCCCAGTTGTACGAAATTTCTTTCCCTCTTTATTTTAGAAGCTGCATTGAAGGGATATTATTGTTGTAGGAGATGTGAACCATCAATTTGGCCACCAAGTCTGTCAAATCACTTACAAAGTCTTTATTAGTCCACAAGTGAAGAAATACTGTCATTTGAAGATGCACAAAAGTTCTTTGTGTAACATACAGTGAGATGTACAGTACAGTATTGTGTTACTGCTAGGCAAGTTCTCATAAATAGTTTCTGCTCTGTATTTCTGTGTATTTCTATATATTGTGTCTTATGATTGTTAAAATACAGTAAAAGATAAAATAGTTTTTCGTCTACTTAGCGCACAAAAGGAGCTCCGAGAGGGGTCAAATAATCTCTCTGAGCAACAAACTGTTCTATAAGAATAAGCAACGGAGCTGACAAACAATTTTTTTTTCATTTAACAGAAGAAAAAGGCCTGCAATGACTGCCAAATCCCGATAGGGCGTAGCATGCCAGCTGCAGAGGCAACAGTTAAAAAAAAACAGTTTTGCACTTTCTTTTTAATGTTACTGATTCTCTGAGTCTGTGGCTGCTGGGGTGTAGAAGAAAAAGAATGGATGAAAGAGAGTGGGAGTGAGAGAGGACACCCCGCTGACAGTGCAGCGCTAATTAAGAGTGGATGGTGTTTGAGTGTCAGCCTAACATAACACTGCATCACAGAAGCAGATATGGAGAAACCCGAGCACACACACAGATGTGCACACACACACACTACGGCCTGTTTGTGACTCTCTATCTCTTTGTTCTTGCTGTATCTCAGACACACACACGCACACACACCAAAATTGATATTGTTTTTACTATTATATTCCCTTCATCCTGTAGTTTCTGAAAGCTCGGCAGCTTAAATACTATTTGATGTATTCAATGTAACAGATAGTAAAGCAAGCTTGTCTGCTGCACACGAGGATGGTATATAGTAGAGGGGAGTGAAAAATGTGTAAGCAGATATGATGGCAAGCATTTGCATTTCTGAAACTACTTTTAACATCAGCTTGTTTTGAGGAGGAGCAGAACTCAGCATGAGATGTATAAGTGTAAGATATTAACATCAAATACAAATGTAGCACAGTGCTGCAAAGTAACTAAGTACAACTACACAAGTACTGTGCGTCAATATAATTTTGAAGTGTTGAGTATTTCCATTTTCTGCTACTTTGTGCTATGATCCTATATTTTTCTTTCTTTCGTCTTTCACAACCCCTCCGATTTATCTTGTGATCCTTTAGGTTGGGAACCACTGAACTAAACTACCTAAATGTAACTGTAATAAAGTAGTTCCAACTAGCTCTGTGTCAACAACAGTTAAATGCTGCTTATACACTGATGCATATATAATCATATTTCAGTAACAGGAGCTATTTTTCTGAAGAATGAAAACTTTTACTTTTAAATTTTGTTCATAATACTTTTGTACCTGTAACTTTTACTTGTAATGGAGTATTTGTAGATTGTTGTACTGCTTCTTTCACTTAACCAAAGGATCTGAGTACTTGCACATTTTGAATTTAATACAAAACAGACTAATTATTAGGTTGCACTCCCATTTGCATTCTCTGCAAAGGATAAGGACAATGTATTTGCATTAATAGACATTAAGATATCTACTCATAACTACTCGTAAAGTGTCATTATTAAACCATCTCCTGCTGATTTCTGTCAAGATACGTTATATACGTTTAATGCTGCAAAAATGTTAACAAGGAGTTGGCATCATAACTTATAATTGCACCTTCACTGTCTTAATCACCACCTTTCCTCCCCAAAAATCCAAACTGCACCTGCCTTATTCCCTCTCAGAGATTATTAAACTTTCATCTAATTGGACCAAATCAAACAGCAGAGCAAAGGGGCACAAGGCAATTAATATAATACCTTTACGTTGTCCCTGGTCCCCAGCTTCTTCAGCAGCGTCTCAGCCTTTGGGAAGATCTGATCAGTCACATTATCCTAATGAAGATGAGGAAAACAAGAAAAAAAAAATGAGTTGGAGACTTAATTGGATACACTTGGAAAACCACTATTGCTCTTTGAAATGCAAAACATGAGGCAGAGGGAGACAAGAATTAAGACTTCCGGAGAGCATTTGGGTGTGATGAGCCACTTATTTCCCACAGACTCGGGTAAAAATGTGTCCCCTGTTATTTTGGCTACTTTGGCCAGTTTTTTTCTCCCCTTCTGACGTTTCTGTTTTATTAAATAGTGTGAAATAATTAAAATCATGTGAGGAGGAAGAGAACATGAAACAAGGATTCAGAAGTAACAGAAATGGCCTCATTACCTAATGTACCAATCAGCAAAAAAGAGCATTTTCCACAAAGTGCAGAGTTTCTTCTCTTTTTTTGGTGAGGTGAGGAGATGAAAATTGAGGCGAGAGAGTAGACTGGACAGGTTGCATTAAAAATTCTGCTCTATTCCACTCATGTTTCATGTGAAATGAGCCTTGGGATGAGGGCTTGAGATGACGGGCATGCGATTTCCAAAGTGTCATGTTGATGCCATGCTGTTCAGCCCAGCCATAAGCGCACTGAGCACATTACATGTGTGATATAAATGCAAATGGACCTCCTGTTGGACCCTGCCTTCGGTTGGGAGGAGGAGAAGGGGGGAGAGTGGATGTGGCATGGAGTGAGGAGAGTTTGGTGGAGGAAAAGTGCAGGTGACAACTGGGGAGAGAGGTGGAGAGTAGAAAAATAAGAGTAGAAAAATCAACAAAGACATTCCAAGAATGTAAGAGTGTGCTCAGGTGCAAGTGCTTGTCTGCTCTGAAAGAGGGAGTGTGGAAAGGAATAGATACAAAAGATATCTCGAGCCCACAAGACAGTAACCTAAGGACAAGGGACTGAGGAGATCATACCACACTCCTGTTCTTACTTTTTCTATCCCACAACCCTTTACTTCAGTCCTAGACCACATTGTGACATTCGTAGGAATTCATAGTGCATTTGGAGCATGTTTTTGCCCTGCCATAGATCAAGTCTGCTCCTTTGGCATAACAAAATGTTTACACATCAGTTCAGTAACGCAGCATGAACTCTTCGTCTCTTTCCACATCACAGTGTGAAAGAAGAAGGGGGGGGGCGCAACCCCATCTATGCAGACATGAGTATTTGTGTTAAATAATATCCCTCTGTTCCAACTCATTACCTATTCATATACCGGGCAGAGAACAAGACTCCTACTCTTGTCCGTAATGCTTCCTCCAGCAACAGCAAAGGAGTCTTAACAGTATTGTTGTTTTTCCTTCATTCCAGTTTGCATCGTGCCAAGCAGCAACAGGCAGCGCCAATAGGCGACCTTCCTGAGGATTAGCGGTGGCTGAAACGAGATGAGAAGTGGGCCAGCGGCTGCTTGGGTCTAATCCTTGACAAACTCCACCCCGCTCAAGCCACTACAGTGTGTGGTGACTTTTTTGGGCGAGTTTTCCAAAAGTGGCCTGCACAATTCAGTGGTCAAATGGTCTGTGTGTGTGAGAGTCTATTGAGATCTTGCCAGGAAGGAGTTCATGGTTTGTTAAATTAGGGGTTTATTTCTCTGAATAATATAAAAAAATTAAACAAATTTTGTTTGAGAAGGTTATAGAAACATTTCAGGGAACCACAGTGACATTAAGACCATCTACATAAGGCTCTGTGACATTTGAGATAAATTTTTTTGTCGCAATTAAACAGCTTCCAGCACAAAGGCTTTCTTGTTCTCATTGTTCCCGTCACCTCTTGCAACACAAAACCCTATTTCTACCTGCTAGACACAGGAAATGCAATTAAACAGAAATTTCAAAGCCTGCTTCCCAGTCAGCGCAGGTGGCTCAGAGTGCAAAAACACGCTACTTCCCGTTAACATCTCGCATCACAGTGCCTGCCGAGCAGCAGAGAGCCAGACATTTCCCAAGGACAGTGTAGCACTTTAATAACAAGGAATGCAGAGCTGGGATGGCTAATGCCCGGCCATTAGGGTTACATCATCGCTGCTGCACGAATTAAAGTCACATTAGCGTCGAGATCCGGAGACAGAGAAGGGAGCCTGGGTAGGAATGAGACCGGAGACGCCTGAGGGCGAAGCAATGTGCTGATCTCAAAGTAGTTTGAACATTGAAAATTTGAAATGTTAATGAGAGCCTGTGTGTATGCAAGAGAGAGGCTGAGAGAGACAGAGAGAGATACAAGGAGGGGACAAGTAAGTTGGTATAAAGTTCAAGAAACACTGCTTGAGTAAAAATGAATGAATGTATATATATGTATGAATTAATTTGAGGTAGCTGAAGTAGATAAAGTCAAATAAATGTGATGGATTGTGTGTGAATATGTATGTTCGTGTGCAGTGAAGACCCATATTCCTCGATTTATTCCAAGCAATGCACAGACACTCATAGCCTGTTGCCATGGACACTCAACAAAATGGATTTGAAGAATCTAAATGTCCTCTCCTCTTTGCTTTCCTTCTTCTTTGGCAACCGTTTGAGAATTCATCAGGGTCCAAAAGTCCACAACAAATAGCATCACCTGTACCCAAGATACAAAGCTGACCGAACAAAGAACGCCACGCTCCAATTAGAAGCAGCCCACTCAAAAGACGATTGGCAAACTGCAGCCTTGACAGGAGAAAATCTGTTTCTGAACCTTTTCTTCAAAACTTCTAAACATTTAGTGTTGGACAAAGACTTACAACACAAAAGTCCCAATGCTGATAATGATGAATACTGACTCAATTGATTTTTATGATTTATGTAGGTTAATCTGTATAAAAGCAATGCCAGGCCTGTTTGAATTACCAGGAAGAACAAGGAGTTCTGACCTGCACTTCACTGTCAACACATCACAACACATCAAACAGAATACTAATACCAGTAGTTATCCAAAGATTACAATGTGTGGGAACATTTGAAAAGAACAAGGGCCTTCATTCATTTAAGCATTCAAAAGAGAATAAGATTCTACAACAATGATAATAACTGTTAGTTTAATAAGTAAGCATGCTAACATTTGCTAAGTAACAGGAAACATGAACTACAGCTAAGGATGATGGTAATGTCATTAGTTTTGCAGGTATTTGGTCATAAACCAAATTGGACCTGATGCTAGATAAAAAAAATGGAACCATCAGGGTAATTTAAAGATCTGGGTTATTCAAATGGTCATGTGGTATCAACAGGCTTTACTGTGAAATATATACAGCATACCTGAAATGAACTGAATAGGTCTTTGAGATCCCTGAATGCAGCTTCGATTGCTGCCTCTGTCAGTCGGACTTGGGAGTTGACTCCTCCGACAGAGATGCCACCATACCTGAAGTAGCAGAATAAAGCGTAAAGAAATTGAGGTTCAAGTGCAGGTAAGAGCATATAAGTATTGCCAAGGATACATAACACCCACGCATTTTCACACTTGCTCTGCAAAACTACACATATAGACACATGAGATACAAACTTACAGTAAAGGCAGACCTTACAGTGGAAATATGGACATTAATAATATGTTCTAGAAACATGATCAAATATCCACAGGGTTAGTCACAAATAAAAGGAATGCTTATAATTAATCAGCTCTGTCATGCAGTGACAGTTTGTTTTACATGTGAAGTAAAATGACAGGTTAAAGGAAGTGTATCAAAGAGAGGCCCAGCAGGATTTGTCAAAGCATGACAACTGCATTGTAGAGATGTAAATGGCAACACAGTGTGCAGGATTTTGTCCTTTTATTCATATTACACTTAACTGACCTTCTAAAAGTGGATGCATCAACCCCACAACAGCTGCCCAGGTAGTGATTTGGCTCTTTTTGCATCCAAATCCAAAGCGCCGGAGGATAGTCACTAGTTTCTAAAGTGCATGCACCAGATACATGAATGCACTGTGATGCCCTGATTAAAAAACACTGACATGCATTACCTTGTTTTACCCGAGTGCTCGAAAGTCTTGACCAAGAAGTCCGTCATGTTCCGTCCAGTTAAATTCAACAACGTGTCTGTTGTGTTCTGGATCCTCTGTTAAAAAGAGAAAAAGACAAAAAAGTGTTTGCACTCTTAAAATTAACACAATCAATTGCTTTGCCATTTGTCCATTTTCTTTGACCTTGAGCTTAAACCTACATAATTGATTTTTTTGGCCACTTTGGGGGCAGCACAACAAGCTGTAAACACAACACAACATATTCAGAATCAGAATCACTTTTATCGGCCAGGTATGTGGACACATACAAGGAATTTGACTCTGGTTTTACATGGCTCTCAATGTACAAACAGAGTAAGCATAAATAAACAGGACAATAAGCTTAACAAAAAAGAGATAAAACTACGATGTACAGTTATACATATATAAACAAAGAAAAAACTAATATTTGTAGACAGTAGACAATAGTGCAATGTGCAGAGTGCAAAGGATGCTGAAATAAATATTTAGGTGCAGGTCATTATATATTATATATATTCGATTATATACTATATTATTACCTTATTAAGTTGATATGGTGAATACGTTAGCAAACAGTTGTATATTAACACATCCAGCAGATATGGAGAAATGTATTTGGATTCATTTTTGTGTCCAAAAAAAAAAATCTCAAGCTGTGTTTATCACACCTTTTCATTAATATCAGTTACCTACTGCTGCTAAAAACGAGGTTCATGGGAGCAATGAGAGTGAACCAAAACAGTAAAGTTGCAGACTGTAAAACAAAAACAATGACCTGAAAGATACCAAAATGCTCCGTAGAGCTGAGAGGAAGAGCACTACAGTGAGTGACACATTTTACATTATTAAGATGCAGAGTTTCAAAATAATGAAAATGCAAGGTTAATCTGAATGACTTTCTTGCAAAAGAGGTGCAGTGCCTTCTCTTTTACTTATGAAAGCCTATAAAACTTTTGCATATAGCACTTAACTTTGCCTGTGTGTAATGGAGCATTATGAGCAGAAAGGCTGACCACAGAAAGACTGCAAGTGCCTAGCCACCCATAAGAACTTACCAGTAGATGCAAAATCAACAAAACTTAGGAGCAAGAACATTTCATAGGTGATATCTGCACAGATCACAGCAGCATGGAACACATTCTCTCAACTCTTATCATAATAGTCAATTAAGCCAGGCTATGGGTAGCCTGGCTGAAATCTAGACCCCCGCCAAAGCAAGGAAAGCTGTGTCTAATGTCAAAGGACCCTAATTAGATGCCCTTCCGTGGATAAATGGGTACATTCAAACATCCAATTAAAGGAGGGTGTGACACACCACCATGAATACACTCCACGATGTGTAGACTGATACTTCCTTGTACACACACACTCACGCCGACCCCAAGCTGCTTTAGCCCTGCTTATTTAGAGAGGTAACACTGCGCTAATTAGCAGAGTGATCCTTGATAAAGCGCAACTGAGACCCCTGACTGCAACGCAATTTACCAATGTACCCCCTAGTTACGCTGGTTATCTACCCTTCTGTACAAACAGCTTGATGTGCAAGCTTTAGGTACACATGGTGTGTTGTTTAAGCGGTCACCCCTGTGTGTCAATTACCTGTGTGTGTATACCCATTCTTTATCACTTATAACATACAGTAGATGTCCAGGTATGAGATGGAAGGATGTTTTGTTGGCATCCCTTTCATTCCTGAGTCTAAAATTCCCCTTAGAGATAGATCATTGTTTGTTTGATTTTTAACTACATGGTAGTGCCGTTCCATAGGGTATAGAGTTGGCAGTAAAGGAAAGAGGAGATGAGGATGGGTTGAGGTTAAAAAAAAGAGGGAGGAGATAACTTAAGACATATTAGTAAGATTAAAGAAGTCGCTAAAAACAAGTAGGAGAAGAAACCAGAGCAGGAGTGGATAGACGACACGAAACATAAGTTAAAAGAGCAAAGGAGAGAATAGAAGAAGAGGACGAGGAAGGGAACTCGAATCACAAGGCAAAGAACAAACAGAAGGAGAAAGCAGAGGAAGAAGAGGACCCATCTGGCTTATGAATCAGAGATAAGGAGGACGAACGGCACAGCAACCTTGGCTTATCTCTGAACAAACATGCTTCTCTTTCGAAAAGCCACAGGAACTCTGAAACAAACAAAACCAAAAATAAGAGCTTCTACACTCCACTGTGTGTACACTGAGTTTATACCCGAGCATACAGTCAGTGTGGGTCTAATTATTTTGGCCTTGGTCCATATCCCCCATCAAAAAGACTGAAATGGGAACATTACGTGGTTGTGCACTACCTGGGCCTGCATCTCTTGTTCATTACTTGGGAGCAGCTTCAGTGTGCTTGGCATTCTGTACATAACATCAGTCCTCGACCACACAGTGGTAGCTTGATAGCTGGGGAAGCAAACAAGGGTGAGGGAAATGTAAACTAAGGAGTAATCAAATCTGTTGAATGAGCTGGCATACTCGAGCACTGTGAAGATAAGGCACTGCGCAGTGTTCATATTAATCTTGGCACTGTTTATACGGCGCTGTACCTCTAAGGTAAAATTCAAATTTTATCTAGTGCGGGCAAAGAAAAGCAATCTCGGAAAAGCAGAATCTTCTATAATTAAACATGTTATGTTAAGGTGTAGGGTCACTTGTCCTCTGACTTGAAGTTTTGCAAGTGATGATCAGGTTGTGTTTTCATGCAAAACAACACAGTATGCTTCTCTATGTGTGAAGTTGTTTTAACTCATTATAACATGATGAGTTGGTAGTGGAAGTGACAGGTGGCCTATTGTGTAATTGTGTGTCACCATGTGTATTTCAGGAGCTGCTCTTCAGTTCGGCACATTTCATTGTGTTGTGTGATTATGTCCGATATGATCTCATCACGACAATCATTTTAAACTGAGCCAAACAATACCATTAGATAATGGCTGGAGTAGTGTGTAATGCACTTGCTGGGTTACAAACATTGCAGTAACAAGCTGCTCTGGCTATTCTGTCCCAGATCATAAGAGATTGAGTTGCGCACACCCACGCCCGATGACAGATTTTCACCCGGACCCCTTCTGTTCTGTTTAGCCACAACAAAAGGGAAACCACTGCCTCATCCACCATTTGCCTCACCTCACAATTCAATGACCTTTCTGCTTTTGTTTTCGAGCATCTCTTGCCTTCTGCTGAGAGGGCGGCTCTGGACAGGTCGTTTTACACTAAAATGGATCTGCTGGTGTTGGGAGTCAAAGTGACAAATCAACAGGGCCCAGCAGAGAAAGGATGTGTCAGCCCGTTTTGTTCGCCAGGTTGAGTGTGGACTGGCTGGGTTTGGAGCTGATCTGCAGTTAGTTGGACTTGTTCATTGCCAGCAGGTGTTGTTAAAGAGAAAAACCTGCCCTCAGATGTTGAGTTCACTGATTCATCATGGTTTTATTGACTGGCATGAATAAACGATAACATAAGGCGGAAATAATACGATAGCCCGGCTGATTTTATGTTTTGAATTTAAATGAATTCCCATACAGAAGCTTTCTTTTCAAAAGGTGCAACAAATACTCTTGCTGAAAGACTTTTTTCAAACCAACAAACTAAACTAGATAATGGTAGTTGTATTTCTTTAGCAGAACTCTTCTTTTCTCCACACAAATGGTAAGCCAATGCCCAACTTCAATAGCCTGATAGATGAGGCCAAGGAGAGTAATTTGCAAGCGAGTTGTGGTTAGGCCAGTCTCCCAATGATAAAGACATCAATCGTAATTCGGTGAACGTGGCGGCTTTATCAATTCCTCTGCACGCATGACGGCCTATTCATCTATGAAGGTTAAATATCAGCAGTGAACGAGAGTCAATACCTCAGAATTGATAATGGGCTTACTGTTGCCTGCCATTTCCATGGAAACAATGATTTCACACTACCTCCTGTGGTGATGTGTCCATGTTTTTTTCTCTCTCGTCTTTTCTGCAGTTTCTCAAGGGCATATTCGGAGGATGGGCCGGATAAAAGATAAAAAAGAAAACTGGTGTGAAGCTGGTACACTTTGTCATGATTTATTCAACAGGGGAAGCTTTCAGGTCAAAGGGAATACATCCTCACAATGTGCTCAGCTTCTATGGGTGGTCTCTGCCTTGGACTTGCATTCATTTATGGCCCCCTGTGATGGACCACAGTCTGCAGGTAAGCAGTGATGATAAGTGCATACGTTCCCATGAACATGGACATACTCCTAAGTGCATATGCATGTTAACCAGCATGTCGCAATATTTCCAGCCTCACACAAGCAACCATTCTCTCAATCTGCAAAAACAATAGTCTCTTCAGACTCCATACTGCATATCTGAGCATGATGACCACGCTATGTAGCACTATATATGTTTCCATCTGATGACCTCATGCCCTACCCTACATTTTAAAATGGAAACTATGGGTTTTGGCCCTAATGGTGGATTGCAGTTAACAGCAGAGAGACAAATAGGGTTAGAAAGGTGTGGAAGGTTATAGGTTACAGATGCATACTTCATCATTCAATGTCATTTACAAAGAAACTAGACTAATATGCTGGTAAAGAAAGGGCCATGTTCAACTATTTTACTTCAAACCAGCACTCTATCTTTCTACCATATGAACCCACACACTATCACAGTGGTATAAATCTTTCAAGATTTCAGATGATGAAATAAAAGGCTGCAAAGCTTGCTGGCTTACTGCATTACAAAAACTGACCCCTGCCAAATAAATAAAGTGTTGCATTATGCAAAGAGAAGGTGAGGAACAGAGAAACGTGACTGTTTACAGCATGACTGTTGCATATGAATGCTCTCCTCTTGTAACAGCTTCTTAGCCTAAATGTAAAGTTCCTTTAGCCACAGTGGGAGATGACTGGCAATAATCTTGTTGCATGATAATAACTCAGTGTCCTCAAGGTTGTTTCCATGCAAAACTGAGAGTCCATTTTAATATCCTCTTACAAAATCTGGATTGGAACAAACTAAGATGTTGTAAATAAAGAAGAAATGATGCAAGGGAATGTAACAAGATGTAGGCAAGAATTGGCCTTTATAAATGGTATTTTTACTAAGGCTAAATGTAAGAAAAGTACCAGCCACTTACAGCATGACACGATAAAGTAGAAATCCAGTAAAGTATAAAAGTACTATCAATTCATAAAATAAAGAAGCAAGAAAATGAAAATTGAGCGAGGCTGTTTTAAATGGAAGTAGCAGGTGTAGAAATGGAAAAGAGCAAAATAAAAAAAGAGGACTAGAAAGGAAGCCATTGATGGCCTAACAGAGAACCAGGAAGATACAAAGATACAAGTAGCACCTCAACAAATGGGGGACTCCTTGACAGTGCTGTCAGAAGCCAGGACCCAACGTCAGGGAAAGGAAAAGGTTACACAAAGGGCACTTCTCTTGTTTGACTGTCATAACAATCATCCTATAACATGATACCTGGACAGTTGCTCCTTTAATGTGGCCCTGGATGGCCTTGTCACTGGAAGGAGCACACTGCAAGACTCACACAAGTTCAACGAGGCTTTACAGATGTGGAGGGTGTGAAATGGCACATTACACAGCATGGAATATTGTATAGGGGATGTATAGGGGACTGGAAAGGAAATAAAAGAGTGGCAGAGGAGCCCTGCAGGTTAAAACTGTGTCATTTCATGTCTCGCTTGATGGAAGTCATCGACTTTGCCGACTGTTTCGTTTGTCCTTCCAAGAATATATCTCTGAAGTACGTTAAATACTGAAGGAGAAATGCCATGGCAATTATAGGAAAAAATCCTTTTAGATATCTGTATGTGACTGTGTGAGTGTTTTTTTTAACTGGGCCAGAATATGTCTTTTTAACACTCCCTCACTCCCCTTAAGAGCTGAGGCTGAAATAAGCTTTGCTACTTCATAACCGCTTTGCAAAATGAACTTACAATGACTGTTAAACTTATATCATAGACATAGAAGAACTGACACTTTTTAAAACTCGAAAAGCATTTTCAACCAAAGTGAAGCCTAGTATTAGAACTGTATAATGTGTAATTTGAAGTTGTTTTTTTTCATTCGGCACATTAATGAGATATAATGGTTTTATTCTAACCCCAAAAATCCACATTTGCTCTAAGTAACTTGTTAATTTACCTAAAATCAACATACATCACATAAAAAGCTTCAGGTAATTTGTATAAGAATTTGGGTGATGATATTTTCTAAAATAGTGTCACTGGAAAATTAAATTGTTTCAGTTACATGATTATGTGTGACATATATATATCAATTTTATTTTAATATATGTCTATAACTGTCTATATGTTTATAACTGGAAGATTCAAAGACTTTTCCGAAAGTAGCTCAAGCCAGTGAAAGACAGGCTGTGATCTACAGTATAGCTTCTATGTAAGCAATGCAGATGTGAAATAAAAGCTGTGAATCATATTTAGAGTCAATTGTGTGTTTTTTTTTTTAAACAAATGATTATACGGTTAAATTGGTGAATTAGGTATTAAGCAGTAGAATTACATTCAATTTCAGTGTGAGGGCGAGATTTGTTGATAGGGCTTTCTGCTCTTGATGTACAACTGAGAGATAAATGTTTAATTTTATGAAAATAATATATACATAAGTGCTGGGGATGACTACTGCAAGCTATATACCAAACTGTCATCAGACAGCATGAATGCCTATTCTCAAAATAAAGGTCACTGCTGTGTTAATTGAGTGAGTTAATTGAGTGAATTTGGAAGTGGAAGATGTATGGAATTGTTTTTTTCAAAAAAATAACAGCCAATAATAGCCATTCAAAAGTCAATGAATGCATATCAAGGCTCCTTGTGAATAGCCCGTAGGAGGAGCAATACAAGTGAAAATCTATCTATCTAATATGTTCCATGTTGTTCCATGTCAGTTCTGTTTTGTAGTTGTTACAGCATGATTGATACAATTCTTTACCCAAAACAGAGGGACACAAGAGTAAGCCTGAAGAAGTAACATTAACTTTATTAATCTAATCAATATTAAGACCTATCAAAATCAGATTTAACATATATTAAGACATTTTTAGGCCAAAAAGTCAGATCCCTAGATTGTCGACTTTTGAAGACCTCACAGACACCCTGTATATACAGTATATGTCAGATCAATATTTGTGTTACATATGAAACATTCTGGCTAGTGTACACTTTAAAGTTGTAACTCTTGATATATGTCTACATGTATCCTCTGTAGTCTTTGTCTATTTGGCCAGCAAGGTGAGAGCATTGGCTTGATAAGGAGTATATAACCACTGGTTGGGGGTATGTGGGAACAAGGGGTGCATGTTGTGTATATATTCCTGCTATTTGGCACTTTTATAAAACAAAAAAACTTCTTTATCTTACTCAGTTTTTATGTTACACCTACCTACACACACTCGATTTGCTGCCACACCCTCCCACTGCCGCAATTCATTCACACGAAAGCTAACCCACAATCCAGTCTGTATGAGTTCTCACCTCATGTCTCCAAATTATTTAGTGCTGATTGAAAGTTCTTGAAATAATTTGAAGCAATGTTGTTTTTAAACTGTTGCCAAATAGCAGTTTGTCTGGCATGCTATTATGTGCAAACACAAATCTATAATATCTACACCATGACTGCGTGTTGCACTATGTTCACCTGCAGCATTGGGGAAAAAAGCATGCCACCAACATCACTGCAGGACCAATCAACAGAGACTGCCAGTCTGTATGAAAATTAGGCTGAAAATGTAAACTGGAAGTTAGCTATCTTGTAAATGCAAAGCTGCCAAATCCCAGGTATCAGACACCAGAAGTCTCCCACTCCTTTCCTCCCTCCATCTGGCGTAAACTGCCACAAACACATTCTCAACTATGGTAAGACTCCAAGAGGAAGTGAATATTAGCAGATTTAGGTGGGGTTAGGGAATGAGACATTCAAATTCAAATCTCTTAAAATGCAGGTACAAGCTACAAAGCATGAGAAAACAAACAAAGCCATCTCTAATAAAATTACATTGGAGTAGAGGTGGCAGATTCTCCATCTATTCTCTCACAGGTTTAGACTTCTCATTATCATTGGGAGACAACAGTGAAAACCAGTTAGCTCCAAATGAGACACTACTTGTCTCTTTATCGTGAGTGGTTCAGTCAGCAGGTGGTGGCTGGTAGGTAGACATGCAGGGTCTCTAACTTGCCCATCGATCCCGACCTGGATGAAGCCTCTTCAGGTCAGGCCGTGCAACATTTGCCCTAGTCGCATTTGGTCATGTATATTGTTAAAGTAATGGTCTATAAAGGATTGGTATTGACTTCTGGAGGCTAAGAGGTGCAAAACTCTGAGGACTTGTGATGTGAGCAGAAAAGGTGAGGTCCATTGCTGGCAGTGAATGCAATAAAATGTCTTAAAAGTTGCTACAAGGTTAAAGGTTGATATATACCTGAAAAAGTAAAAGGGCACACAATGTGTAACTGAATTTTGCATCAGGTAGGTGTCACAACCCGGCTCAAGGCTGAACAAATAAGGGGAGAACACATGAGTTGTAACTAAAAAAAAAACTAAAAAGTTTATTTAACACAACTAAAAGATAAATGAAGCGAAAGACAAACTAAATTCAATCAAACCAAACAGGGTGGAAGCCAAGTGAAAGAGAGAGAGACCAGTTGATTGCCTCCAGCCTATATAGTCTTGCCACCAGACCAAGTAACTGAATCTTGCCTATGACCCGACTCCATCTACCAGGCTCTTGAAGGGAGTCATCTGCTCAGGTGGTCGTCACAGTGAGGAACAAGCTGAATCATTTTAAATAGCCAATTCAGTGTATTTTCAGTGGAATCAATTTTGGCCCTCCTTTCATGCATGCACGCTAGCTCACAAAAGGGACACAGCACAAAAGGCTGATTTACATTTTGCAATGCAACGCAAATTCCTTGTTAGTAAGTAACTTTACATTTTCAAATCAAAATGATGCTGACTGGGACTTTTAGACTGCAAGCCAAAAGCTTCCATGACAAGCATTTTTTATTGTACTGTTGCGTCAATGATTTATTTGTATTTTTCTTTAACATTTAGATCATTCCGCTGCAGTATATCCCACTGTGACACACGTACAGTAAGTGCAGGCATTTTACCAAGGAGTCCAGGGGAAATTAACTGCCATTAGCACTACCCCCGGTGGTTCAAACAAGGTTTAACTGTCTTGCTCAAAAGACCTCAGACAGAGACTGACACAGTGCACCTGTGACCTTAAAGTCACATAATTATGGTTCCGACTACAACACCACCCGCCTACCAAAAAGCACAAGCTCCAGTGTAGGAGACTAACCTGAGGTGGAGGGAGCCCTCCTGCACCGGGGGCACAGTCAGGTAACATGATCGTCCGTTTGGGCGTGCTGCACTGACAGGAGGGGGAGGGGTTAGACATGCTCCAGTTTCCATTGAGGAAGATGTCCGTGATGGACTGATCCACGGTTGGAGTCATCCAATTAGAGCCACGAGAAGAACATGACAACTTCCTAAGAGAAAATAATGGAGAAAATATGAGCGTTTAATTGGTGAGAACCACTCTGCTAAAGAACATATGCTTTTATCTTAACCACAGTTGTAACTGTTGTGTAGCATGGTAGCAGTAAAGCTTGATAAGAAGTAAAGAGAATACAAGGGATCGTTTTGAGATGTTATATAATCTCTATATATTATAACAACATGAGTCACAAGTAATTTACTTTAAAGGCTGCTGGATAATACCCTTGAATTAAAAGATGTGTGGTCTGTGTTTGAAGAACTCAAGCACAGTAAGCCACTCACAGCATCTGTGATGCACAAGCACTTGTGAACCGTGAGGTCTCCAAGCTCAGCAATAATTCCATTTCATTTTTAAGTTTAAAGAGGTATTCATTATTCAACTTATTCTGATCAGGATGATCGTTTGGTTTTCAAAGTCATGCAGAGCACTCATTTCAGCAAGGATTTCTTGAACACATGTGGGACTCCAAAGCTTAACACTTTATAAATACCATTTGGCATGAATGCATGTGTACACACTAATGCTATTCTTTAAGTTTCTTGTGTACTCAAAACAACTTACGGTATTGGGTCTCCAGTCATGCAGCGAGTCCCAAAACCAGGCGTGTTCACCAAGGTTTCCACCACCTGAGTCACCTCCACATTATCTGGCCCATCATTGCTGTAAATATTGGGAATATAATCAAAGCAAATCCACATTTAAACATTACAGGGTGCAATACATTTTTAATTGGAGCTACAGTGTCCTAAAAAAAAAATTGAAATAAAAACATGAAATTACAGGTTAAATGTGAAGTGACACTAGGCGTGGCTTATCAAAAATGCTGCGGCATTGATTGCATCAAAGACCAAATTACATTAGAATTACCCATCTAAACTAAAATGGATATATTAATCAGAGTCTTGGTGGTCAGGACCAATGATCGATTATATCATCTATTGTCATTCCATTAAATGATAGAGCACCATGGTGGAGTGTATCTTAGACAGCTGAATCGAAGCCTTAAAAATAGTGAAAAAGCTTCATATTTGCAATCAGATATCTCATCTCAATAGAGAGGACAACCAACAGTCAATAAGAGCTGAGTTTACAGTAAGGTGAAGCAGAGCAAGCTGAGTCTGACTTCTAACTTCTACTTTTGGTTTGACTGGTGTCACATTAAACAACAAAGATATTTTGATATGTATGATATCAAACTGTATACTTGATATAATGACTAGAAATACCAGTCTGGTCTGAGTGACAAAAATCTCTGAAATCTGTCATTATGTTTGGAATACAATGAAACGTCACAACTGGTTAGTATTTCACACGTTTTATAATCTGTCTCCTGTCACAAATGATTAAAATTTTACAAGTTGTCTAATCTGTCTTCCACATTGGCAAAGCGCAGGAGTTTAGATGATCATTAATCTTAAACGTATCTTGACATCGAAGAAGGCCTGAGAGGAAATGAGACGTACACGAGGGGATCGGATGTGCTGCATTTCAAGTAAATGCTCGACAGCAATGCTGCATGCCACCAGTGTTATCTTAAGCGTGTGAGAGAAATCACTGAGTTTACCATCTTCTTTTAAAACAAGAATTCCCCAAATAGAATGGACTGCATCGTGTTCACTTTTTCTCTATAGCTTGATCCCCGCTCTGTCTTGATTTGTATTCTTGTGCACGGCACGTACCGATATGAGCCTGTTCAAGATTCTGTGTACAGTATAGACTCTTTACAGCCTTTCATCATTATCTTAGTGTCCTGTATATATATAATCCTTCTGTCTCAGTTAAACAATCTTCCCATTCCAATTTCATTCTCATTACTAACCACACACACTCTGCCCTTTATCTTAAGGGTACTGGGGGAGTTAAAACACGGTGTTTCATAAAGACCATCGTGATGGCTTTCTGCCAGCAGTGGTCACAGCCCAGCCAACCATTTGGACTAATACAGTGTTCATTGTCTCATTTAGTGGCGTCTCCATGAAGGTCATACGGTCATTTCCTTGACCACCAGTGAGCACAATTGAAGTGGTCCGATTGTAAAAAAGGATTATGTGCAGCCATCTGTTTTGCAATTAACAATGGCTGGGTTACCACGTTATTCAAGGTAATAAAACTATTGGACAGTTTCAAAATGAAGACTTGTGCATATACACAGAAACAGTGGAACTAATGAATAGTTCATCTAGTCAAAATGAAACATCACAGCCTTAAGAACTAAGACAATATTAGAAGAAAGTCAAATGAAGGCTACGTTATATTACAGGAATATGACACCAAAGAGTGAACTGTCTGGAGAATAAAAATTACATTTCATATTCAGATATCTAATTCCAACTGATTAAAAAAAACATTACCGGCCCACGGTTGAATGCCTCAGCCAAACAAAATTCATATTGCAGTTCACACCCATGTCTGTCCAGACACATATAATATATGTGGTGAAGACTTTAAAGGACTTGAATAAAGGGTTTAAAGAGTATTTTTTAAATGAAATGTATTAATATATTTATGATACATATGTATGATTCCAGTCAATATATATTTTGAAACTGATTAATCAAGGATTATTATAGATTTACTGGCTAAATAGGTCTACATGTACTTCATAAGATGGATTCTTGCAGAGTTAGAGCTATACTCTGCAAGAATCCAATGTGGTGCTTTTGTTTTCTCCAGGTATTTTTAGATGCGAAGCCTATGAGCTGTAGGTGAAACTCACTCACTCACAGGATCACCACTTGCACTCTAATACGTTGTGTGCAGTCACGAAATTCGAGTGTTCACAGTCAACATGTGTCTAAAATATGGAATCGGTCAATTCATACTTAATTAATGGCTAAAAACTTATTTTGAGGTCACAATGATCTTTAACCTTTGAGTCAAAAGTGTCACCAATTGTGTCCAACAAACTGTGAAATATGGACACAATCCCCCCTTCTGTCCCTGAGCTGTGTCGTTGAATAATAGCCCAAAAGATGATTTTCTAGGACATTATGATGTCACCGTGAGTTTGACCTTTAACCTCTGTCATCACTTAATTGTTGTATCCCATTAACCATCAGTGTGAAATTTTGTCATAACTGCCACATCAGTTCTTGAGTTATGACCAAAAACAGGTTTGTCAAGGTTATTTTGAGGTCATGGTGCCTCTGGCCTGCAAAGAGACATAACAAAATTAAAACAAAAACTAAAAATTCCGACATGAACTAATGTGCAATATTGTCATAGTTTTACATTACACACTGTTGAGCTGGGTTCAAATCCCCTTGAACTTAACTAAATGATATCAATCATTGTCTTCAATCATGCCTAGCTAAAATGGATCATTGGCATTTATGATGTATATCGAGCTGCGATGCTCCTCTGGATGAACTTTTCAGATGAAAAGGCGCACTACATTTAATTACACTGTCATCATCAAGCAGGATGTTTTAAAGTCACTCAAGAGACAAGACAATATTTAATACCTGGCCAGAGGGAATGTCAGAGAAATTAAGAACACTCCAGTTTTAAAATGTATCACACTAGAACCGTTCCCTGGAATTCCAGAGAAAACTGGATGTGCAGTCTGAGTTTCACAGTTTGTGGGGAACTGTGTGACAAAGTCCAATGAGGAACAGGCTCTGAAATCCAATCCTTGTGAGCCAGGATTTTATTCCCACTTGGTGCATGCTGTATTGAGATGAAGAAGAGTAAAACTGAAGAAAAGTAATATAGACAGAACAAGCTTTAAAGGACCTAATTACCACAGTATCATGTAAAGTTGTCAGTCTTATGAAAACACCTTGCAAGAGTTTATCTACAATTAAATGGTCTCTAATGGATAGCTATGTCTCTTCTTGGGTGTTGCTGGATAAAGTTTTAGTGTGTAGGTAGTTTGGTAAGGTGTTCTGGCTCGTAGCGGTTCTTCTGGGTTTGTGGTAGTGTATGGCTGTTGCACTACTAGATGCTGCTACGTCGGCTTCATGTACACCATGTGGTGGTCATGGTAGAAGTAATGAAAGTGGCTGAAGTAGTCAGAGCAAACAGGCTGGTTTTGAATGTTTCAGCACCGTGGAGAAAGATAGACCATTCTGAATGTTTCAGCACCGTGGGGACAGACAGGCCAGACAGACTGAATCTAGTATGTTTTCTAGCACCTGTGGAGAGAGACAAAGGACTGCATTTAAATATTTCAGTTGCATTGTTGGCATGGAACCAGGGTAAAGGTCTGGAAGGAAAGCACTGTAGTTTTAAAAAGTCATTTTTCAAGAACATAAAGTGCCGAAAAGCTTCGTTAATGCAATAAAGTTAGTAGTGAGTAGTGAATCCTTTTGTGAAGAAAGTAAGAGTAGTGAATCCTTTCAAGATTCTAGCTTCAACTTCAAGGGAGGAAAAAAGTCATGCTTTATTAAAATGTTTGTGAATGGATCAAAGGTAAAAGCACCACTGTCCTCAATGAGCTCCAAGTTGATATGCATATGTGATGCCAAAACTGTGAGAGGACTGGTCCAGAGAAAGAAGCAGCATAAAAATAAGTAATCCCAGAGAACAGTAGCCAGTTAGTTCGTTTTCAATGTAGGAATTGTAATTACTGTAAGTATTATCACTCTGAATCAATGCATAAAAATATGTACCACCGTGTTAAAGGCAAAAAAAAGTAATGAATAATAAAATCATCAATCAAAGCTTTCTGTCTGGACTAGAATATGTGCTTTATATTAGATCCTATCAAACTAAAGTTTATAAATATGTCAAAAGATAAACAAGTAGCAACGCCTCGCTCTGACCAAAAGCTAAGATTGTATCTTAAATAAACCAGTTTCAGGTTACAGTTAATTGTATGATGTCTTGACATCTTCAAAGTGAATTTCTACAAAGCACTCTTCAGGGTGGATAAGCAACGACAGCTTCATGTCACAAGAACAGATTATGAATACAACTTCGAGATTAGTTTGATGCTTTGGACAGATTTCGTAACCAGTGATGCATATTAGAATTCAATTGGCATTTTTACAGCACTTTTTGTTGTTACAGATAAGACTTGCTGTTGCAGCTATTTTATGGTTACTGGTATGAATATGGAGAAATTTCATCCATAAAAAAGATAACAAAAGTCTCACAGTAGTAAATGCACACATAAACATAGGGATATATGTTTCTTTCTTTGTTGTTTACTATAAAGTGCTATACTTATTAAGGTAAGAATCTTTAAAAAAGCCATTTACAGTGGTTTTCTTTGTATTCTATGTGTCCACATCCTCTGCAATAAGTCAAGTTTGTTCTCAGTGGGTGCTGACGTCCAACAAGGCCGCGTCCTGTCACAAGGCATGATTCTCAGTGACAGAATAGCAAGCTGCCGCCAACAAGGGGACAGTGTCCAGATTGATGACCTCAGCAATGCAAAAATCTCTTGGCAATCAAACGGCATGAGCAGCACTGTGGCGTCTTTTCCCTTTGATTTTCTGTCTTTGAAGTTTAAAGCTTCTTACAGCCTATTGTTCATCTGCTCAGCCATGTTTGCTATTGTTGCTCTTGCTACTATAACTACCCAGTTGTTTTTCAAATCTTTCGCACACCCTCTGCTTCTGATAGTACACATCAACTGCTAGAGGATTCTTCCCTCGTTGCCTCTGGGTAATAGCAACAGTTTCATACAATGGGTATAAGCTTATTATTATATATAGCAACAAAGTAGTTATTAAATATAACATAAAATATCACAGATTGCAAACCTAAATTAAAAATCTGCACTGAATTGGGTAAACTCAAACCTGTCAAATCATTCTATGCTATATAACGTGATGTGGTTACCTGTAGAAGGTGGTTTGAGGCAGACCGTACATCCAGGGTTGCAGCTCCAGACTCGGGTATTCAGTGAACGGTGGGACGATGAGCGAGAAGATCAGAGACAGGCACACAAAAACAGCAGGCAAGACCACCTAGGATGAAGGATGGAGGATGGAGACAAATTTGAAGACAAATTACCTCATTAAAGCATCCCTGTCACCACTCTGCTTAACTTAAGCAGCTTAAGACATTTATCCTGCTACATCTAAAGGAAAATGTTAGAGAAAACCAAAAGAAAGCAAGACATTTCAGTGAAATTGTGGGTATTTTTCAGGGAAGTAATTGCTGAACAAATTGATTTCCATGATGTACACCTATACCAAAATGAACATCATTAAAAAGAACAGAGAACACAATGCAATGAACAAAATTGTTTTAGATTAAAGGCATACTAACTGCCACAACAGCGATTATTCAGGAAACTTCAGTTAAACCAGAACTCAAATTCAATGCCTCAAATTCATTAATCATTGAGCTCTCTGTATAGCACCATGTATGTCATTATAATGTAGAAACAGGCTCTGTTAGTTTTATGACCAGTGTATTATTATTATTATTAACACACAATGCCACAATTAGAAGTGGTGAAAATTATAAAAAACTCCCCCATCATTATTATGTAGTCTGCATAGGATGTCTGTATGGGTGATACAGATGCATGTTAATATGTGTAAGCATGACAGCACAAGATTCAAATGCGAGATCAATTTCATCATCCCCCCTCCCTGAGCCCCCTCACTATCATTACGTGCTGCAAAATGACTGATGCAATCAACAATAATGCGGGACCGCTGCAATAACGCATGCACATTAATATGCTCCCCAACAACTTGTTTGGGCTCTTCTGCACGCTTTATGAGTTTGATTAAACACTTCCAATGCCGCCACCATCATCTGGCCACTCAGATATAATTAGTTTCTTGCTATTCTCTTGTCTTTTGTGTTATTTAAAAAAAAAAAAAATCCAGACGCTGCCACACTCTCACCCCCCCAACCTCCCACAACTCGTCTTTTCTCCATCATGTAATTTTCTTTTCATTTCATTGTTGGAGCTGACAAAAAGGTCAGTGGGAAAAATGCAAGATATCTTTAATGTTTAATCACTTGTAGGTTGGGGCGCGCTCGGCAGTCGTGGGTGGTAGGGTGGGGGAGGTTTGCGTACACTTGATTAATTGCGGGGCGCGCAATTTGCCAGGCCAATTCAAGATGTTGAATGAAAATCCTGAATTTACTGCATGGTGCTATAGCTGTGGAAATGTGCTTGAGCGAAAGATAAAGAGCAGCAATGAGACTGAAAAGCTTAATGGCAGACCACAAAAAAGCAGTATTCCTTTTTTTGTTGCTCTCCTCTCTCTCTCTCTCTTTTCTCTATCTCTCTCTCTCGACAGTAATTGCAGGTGACAGCTGGTACTTCTTCCATTGAGAGAGATCTGCAAAATACAGGGGGAAGTCATTATGCCCACAAAGCCGAAGCACTCCCATGAACAATGCATGAGTTTATCGCAATTCTCAAGTTTGGTGGATTTAAAGAAGAGGACGGGATTATATGCAAACAGGGTATAAACACCAAAACACGATTAAGATGTGTTTTATTTCTTGGAAAGTCAAACGACTCATTAAATTGACTTTGTTTCTTCAACAAAACGTTTATGTCTACCCTATTTTATTTGGAAATAATAGTTTTATTGCTGCACCTTGCGTTAAAGTGGATAATAGCATCACCTTGGATATTTTTTACTGGTGCGTTAATGTGGTGTTTTCTTTTCACGGCATTCAGATAAAATATAACAAATAGTTAGTAAACATACTTCCAGCAGTAAAAATCATGTCTACAGCAGTAAACAAAACTAATGCAGAGACTGTAGCAATAATTGGATATTCTGAATTACACAAAATCCATCCTCTGCTGCTTAACGGTGAGGTTGCTGCAGGTTGAAAGAAGAGGGTGTTGCAGTCAGTTTAAGCTCCAAATTCCAGAAGCTTTCAACTCATCCACTGCAACATAACCAATAACTGCTTCTCCCTGACTGACATTGCCAAGACTCGCCTGTCCCCAACTTTCATTCCCATAAATCACTCCTTTTGTGTTACATGCCATAATCTCTTTTATATTCCCCTAACTGCTTGTATTCCAGGAGATTACCTCACCACACAATCATATCTGCTGACAATGGGAGCTGTTGACATGACGGAGGAAAAAAAAGAAAAAGAAAAAAACCTTTAGCCAAATGAATAAAGAGGAAGAGGTAGGAGGTGCGCCCTTGCAGACAATGTGCACCCTTGTACGTACACACTCGCACACTTATCCCTCTATCCTGCTCTAAAGAGGGACGTTCAAGACTGACAGTGACTAATGGGGATTGGTACTGCAGCAAATTACAAGAAGAACCTGTACACCTCACAAAGGTGAAACATTGTTTTCTCTCTCTCTCTCTC